GCTAAGTGCTCCCTTCTCTGGCAGGTGTCTGTGGCTTCCTCACTTTTGGGGCCAGCGTGGACCAGGATGTGCTGCTCTCCTACCCCTCCAATGATATCCCTGTTGCTCTTGCTCGGGCCTTCATCATCCTATGCGTGCTGACGTCCTACCCGATCCTGCACTTCTGTGGCCGGTGAGCAGTGGGAGGTGTTAGGGACTGGCATGGGCAGGAGGGCGTTGCCAGGAACCCTCCTACCCTTGTGTTTGTGTCCACAGGGCTGTCCTGGAGGGCCTCTGGCTCCGCTACACTGGGGTGACAGTGGAGGAGGACGTGGTGCGGGAGCGGCGGAGGCGCCTGCTCCAGACTGTCAGCTGGTTCCTCCTAACTCTCCTCCTGGCGCTGTTCATCCCTGACATTGGCAAAGTCATCTCTGTCATCGGAGGCTTGGCCGCCTGCTTCATCTTTGTCTTCCCAGGTATGGCCCCATCATTCTGGGACACTTGGCGGCCAGCAGAGGTCTCTCATCCTTGTATCTCAGGCAGGGAGCGTTCAGGATGGGGGCACAGGAACCAAGAGCCCTTTTAAGAATGATGAAAGTGCAGTGTGAGGCCGGTCAGTGTGAGCCCAACTACACTGACCTGGGCTCTCTGCCCCACAACTGGGAGTGTGGGAGAGGCAGGAGGCTGAGTGAGTCCTGGAGGGGAAATTCCTACCCCATCTGCTAGCAATGTGCTTAGACCCTCTCCAGAGCGGGCTGGGAGGTGGCTGGGGTTGCCCTGGGGTTCATCTACCTGGCTGGAAGAAGCCAAGGAGAAATAGGAGAGCACATGTCCCTCCTGCCTTCTGCAGAGCAACTCTTACCTCTCTGGATGAGCAGCTCCCTGCAGGGTGTCTGCTCAGGCTCCAGGGGACAATTCTCGTATGGATTTAATTTGCCCTCTCTCCCTCCCAGGGCTCTGCCTGATTCAAGCCAAACTCTCCGAGATACAAGAAACCAGACCAGTCAGGTAACTGAAATTCACTTCCCTTCTCCCCACTTTCCCTGCAGGCATTGGCATACAGGACTCCTCTAACTGCACCCTGTTCTTGTGCATCCACAGCTGGTGGGCCCAGGTCAGCTATGGGGTGTTCATGGTCACACTTGGAGCTTTCATCTTTGGACAGACCACTGCCAATGCCATCTTTGTGGATCTCACAGCTTGACTCCTCCTCCAGGCTGGTCCATGCTGCTGATGAGGGGAAGTAGATTTCCCATGGGACCAGAGGGGCGGGGAGAGAAAAAATTTTGGCATATTGGGGACATACAAGAGGAATGTTATAATTTGGGGCTTTGCTGAAAGAGTCCTGCAGTGACTTGTATTTAACTGTCTTAACTGACACCAGGCAGTCAGACTTGGCTTTTCAGCCCTGACTCTCTGGTAAAACCAGAGCATCACTACAAGGAGACCTCGGATCCAGCGGAGAGGAGTGCACCGTGAAACCACACGGTGGAGAGCCCCGCTCCCTCCGTGCTGACTTCCAGGTCAAATCTTTTCTACTGCTCCAGGGGCAGACATCACTAAGGGATCATGTTTGGGATTTGCACAGGCAAGTACACTGCTCTTGCCTGCCTACCTCTGGGTCAGGAGATCTCCTCTCCAGCACTTTCACAGTTTAAACTCCTTGTTCTGACGGCAATGTTAGAGGGAGACAGTGTATCTTGTATAAAGGGAACTACTATCCATGCTTTAACTTGCAGTCAGTCAGGACATGCTGTGGTCAGGAGAGTGTAAGACAAATGGTGCGTCTGCAGAAAGGGAGAGTTCTGCTTTGGCAGAAAGCAAAGGGCTCTTTGCCCCACTAAGCAGTGTGGGGAAGATGGGCCCTGGCTGGTTTGAATAAGCTATAAAGTGAGTGAGTTTTACTGTGCCTGAGTGCAGCAATTCCTCCACCATGTTAACGCCAGTAGCTTAGACAGGGTGATACCCCTGTAGTCCTCTCCTGCGTCTGTGTTTTGTTTGGTTTGAATTTGGTGTTCCTGTGACTCATCTCACCAGTCTTCTGTTCCAGCTCAGTGCTGCAGAGTTACTGTTACATCTGCCTCTGACTGGGCTACACTTTCTGTTAGAAAGTGGGAATTTTTTTGCATCGAGCCTGACGCTAACATGTGTCGTTTGCGGAAGGAGGGTCAGGAAGACCCCACGGATAGCGACACACCAGTGCAATGTTTACACTGCCAGCCCCTGCCTCCTGGCACCGAGGGGTTGCTTACTCACTATAAAAGGTGCTGTGACCACATTGACTGACTGGAGACCCTAGGCTAGAGCAAAGCTCTTCTCTGAATTTCAAATCTTGTTCTTCCAGGGTGGGTGTTGGAGGAATGGGACTGGGCCAGGTGTAGGTTTAAAGGGATGCTTGGCGGGGTAAAGCAGTCCATATTAATGCCTTTTTATATTGTCCCCTTGGCCATTTACGCTCTGTGTGGCTGATGTTGCTCTGGGCTGTTCCCCCTTCGCCTTTCTGGACAGTTTCACTTCTGTTTCTGAGTGCTTTCTTTGGGTTTGGCAGTTCCCCCAGCTGCAGATTCAGCTGGGGGTAGTTAAACCTCAGCAGAAAACTGTTCTTGTTCAGTCTTTAAGCTTCCTTGTTCTTTGTTTGGCTTCCAAAAGCCTGGGGGAGGGAGGGATTTATGTATATATATTGCTGCGTCTTTGATAAGGGTCCAGCCCACCCCGGCTCTGGAAGGGAGCTTTCTGCACATCTGGCTTTGCTCCTTGCGCGTCTTCTCGAAGCAGTGCACTCGGCAGATGTGGCACCTGGCCCAGCCTGTTGTGGTGGGAAGGTGACTCGTGATGTGTTTATGTATTTCTAACTGTGTTTCTTTTCCTCTGTGACCAGCCGGTGGTGGGTGGGAGGACAGCATGGGGGCATTTTCCAGTGGAAACATTTGATCTCTCCGTGCCAACGCTTGCTGTGTATAAATGTGCTCTCTGACAAGAGGTGGCTTCAGCCTGGCTCCCGTGTTCATCGTGTGCTGTCCCCAGCAGCTCCCTGGCAGTGCAGCAGGGCTAGCCCAGCTCTGGCTGGCCTGCCATGCAGGGGGGAAGGGCTCTGTACCCAAATACACACATTTCTCCCCAGATCCTGCTCCATGATTTGAGCTCCCCTGCCCCACCCCCAGCTCTTAGAGATGAGTTGGGGAGATCCAGATGGGGAATGAGAAAGAAATCTCATACACAGCGTGATTGTTTTGAGGGACTGTGCCAACGGCACATGTCCCTCCTGCCTCCTCCAAGGTAGCTCCAACCTTCATGCCCTTGGCTTGCGACAGAATCCATCCAGACTCCAGCAGCCCCCCACCTCCTGTTCCCCTGTGTGCTTGCCCAGGAACAGAGAAGGGTTATCAGCATGCCAGGCTCTCTTGAGATCACGTTGTGCTTCAGGAGGTACAGAGGATGTGGTGTATGTGAGCAAACAAGACTTGCTTTTCCCAGACAAAAACAGGAGATGGAAGTTGCTGCTGGGCCTCAGGTTAATGGATGGCTTATCTAAATACAGTCCATCCGTGCTCCACGCAGGACTGTGAGTGCCGCAGGCACCAGCTGCCTCCCAAGCCCCTTCCCTTGGCTCCTGCGTAAGAGCCAGACACTGGGGCGCAAAGGACCCCACTTGCACCTTGGGGTCAAGAAGAGGGTGCCCACCCACTGAGACCTAAATGTGCTGACCTGTCCTCATGGACATGGACAGCACAGAGCCACCTCATCTCTGTGGATCCCAGCAGGGATGGGGGAGCTCGGGGTTTGGCAGATGCTAATGTAGAGGTCCACCAAAGTGTTTCAGTGCCTGGTTCTTGTCAAGACAGATGGGAGTTTGGCGCCCAGTGGCTTTTGTGGCTCTGGCCTTCACTAAGTGGCTTTTGTGGTGCAGGGAGGTCCCGCTGCTGTCTTTTTGCTGAGGCACCCCAGCAGCCTCCTGCACCCTGGATCCTCCTGTCTTGGAAAAGCAATGTCTCCACTGGGTTTGCAGTTGCAACAGCATGGGCTCTTAGTGGGGAGGAGAGCTAAAGTGCAGGGTTAGGGCACTTTCCAGGGACTTTGGCTGGTACAAACCACGCTTGGGCCCAGGCCAGACTGTAGGACTTCTTTTTTGTGTCTCTCCACTGGAGTGCAGGTAACCAGAGATGCTGCTTAATTTTCTCCCCCACCTTTTTCTTCACCCCCCAGTCTGCTCAGATCGAAGTAGAGGTAGCAAAGCTGTGTCCATCGCAGGTGCCCCGTGTCTTTGATTGTCATGCACAAATACGGGGAGTCGCTAGGCTCTCTCATATCCCCCTGAGGTGACGTGTGTTTGAAAGCAGGGGTGTCTGCTGCCCCAGCAGTGGGGTAATAAGGTGATGTGGCTGTTTCTCTGTTTGCCTTACCACTCCTGTGACCGTTTACAAAACAATGGACTTTTATGTATTTTCTACGTGCAAAAATGGAAGACCTTAACTTAATAAAAGTGAAGTTGTGGTGCGTATGCCAGGCAGGTATAATGTGGTTGCTGGATGTCCACGGGGCTAGTGTTGATGGTGCTGTGTTGGGGTAGGGAGGTGTTCCCAGATAGGGCTCAGGGAGGAGGCTACATCCCAAAACGCCAGCCAGCCAGGCTCACTGTGACTTTTCTGTGCTTTAGCGCAATGAGAGCTGAGGGCTGGCAAGTATTCACCGGGAGCTCTCTGTCTTCCCTTTGCCAGCATGGTGCTGGCCGGATCTCTGCACTCCTGAGCAGCAGCTGTGCTTGTGCGGCGGCAGGTCTCAACCCTCTCATGCACGGTGGTGATGCCACACATGGTTTAGCAGCATGAGTGCTGAGGGGAGCCACTGTTCCTCCTTCCCCATAGAGGCTGTGCTTCCTCCGGGGGCTGCTCCTGCCTCCGTGCCAGATGCAATTGCTCGGAGCTGTGAGGCTGTGGAGTTGAGCCCTGCTGGTTTAAGGGCTAACCCTCTCCAGAGCCAATGCTCTCCAGGCTTCTCCCCTTGCCCTTAGGCCAAATTCTTGCCTTGGTGATAAACATTTCCTCCCATGCTAGTTCCCAGCTGGCCTTTATCTCCAGCAGTGCCGTCCCCCACTGGTCTGTAAGGGTTTGGGACAAACAGCGGCTCTGATGGTCATGGAAAGCTGCCAGCTGGGTCCTGGTACCTGCAGGGCTTTTCTGTATGAGGAAAGGCTAACAGCCTGCTAGCCTCGGAGAGAGCTGCAGCAGCCAGTTCCCTCCACCGGGACTGTCACTGATCCGTCTGGGCTCTGCTACCAGAGTTGTTCCTGTGCTTCCCTGGAAGTCCTTACAGCCCCTGGATAAGACAACTGAGTGTCCAGGGAGTAGCTCACTCTCCTGCGCCTGCTGTTGAAGGCCGTCTGTCCTTGGTTAATCAAACTCCATGTGCCTCTGGGCTGGGCAGGAAGGCCCTGCTCGGGCTGTACAGCTGCCATGCAGGTCCCAGAGGTGCAGAGAGATCAGCCTTGGGCCAGGGATGAGGAGCACCATGGGGAGACCATTGCATGTCCCTGCACTGGGATGGGAGGCAGCCTGAGAAGAGCCTCTGGCCCCTGAAAGAGGTCAGCTCTTTCTGCTGCATCTTCAGTTCCCCCCAAAGCCTCTGGGGACCCCAGCACCCCAGCTCTGCGTTGGAGCGATTGCACTGGGGCCTGGCCTGGCCCAGCCTCTGCACAGGGAACTACCCGTCTCCCATGGCATGGCATGGCATGTCCACAGGCATGGGAGCTGGAGCAGGCCCCCTTGGCCCTCTGTTTCCCCCTTTTCCAAAAGGTTTCCAGCAAGCCACAGTGGGAGAGATCTGTGCCCAGGCCGTACAGCACCAAGCACCTTCGCTGGGGACACAGAGCCACGTCACCTGCCCCGGGCAGGCTGAGATCTCCTCCCTGCGTGCTGCAGGAGCAGGATTTTCTCTGCCTCCTCCAGCAAAGTGACATTGGAGGCGGATCCCCTCCAGGGCAAACTTCACATGGGCAAGCCAGGAGCTGGAAACAACCACTCGGTTATCGCTGCCTTGGGTGACAAATGAGATCACAGTAACTTTTATCTCAAGCAAACAGAGCTCTGGTGATAGAAGGATGCTCAGCAGCACAACATGGGGAGCAGAGCGTCACCATGTGCATCGTGTGCAGCTCCATGGTCATGGGCTGCATTTGCCTAGGCTTGGTGGCAGGGCAGTATAGTCCTGACCTGGTCACCTTGGTGCCAGGCCTCGCTGAGACTCCCAGCTTCCAACAGTGGTCAGGCTACCTTGCTGCAGGATCTGACCAATGCTTCCACTACGGTAAGCGCTGGGAGGGCTGGAGGTGAAGCCAGAATAACTTTGGGGTAGCAAAATACGATGATGAGATGGGAGATGGGAAGTGTGCCACCCCACGCTAACTGCCGCAGGCACTCTGGGCAGCCCCAACCCCCTGGCCGGTGTGACTGGTTCCCCATCCCTTTCCTCCTTTCCTTTGAGTCCTTATGGGGCACCAGTGCCCCTGAGCAAGGCAGGAGCTGGGTATGGGGTGAGATTTGCCATGCCAAGGACCATGGACATCCTGGAGGAGAGCAGCCCTAATTACACACCTGCACCCCTGCAGCTTTGACAGGGGGCAAAGCCTCCTGCCCAGCTCGTGGATGGGCCTTGGGGCAGCTTGAATCACAACTCCTGCAGCCCGGCCTCTTCTCACAAGCTCGATCCTGCTCTACCCCCCCAAGGTTTGTGAAATGGCAAGGCGATCCTGCCACCGACCTGCTGGTGATCTGGTTCAATGGAGGGCCTGGCTGCAGCTCCATGGAAGGACTCTCGGCTGAGAATGGCCCCTTCCATGTGAGTGAGGGGTGACATAGGGCCTGGGACCAGGTGCCCTGGAGGGGCGCAGGTGTCTTTCCCTGTCTGACCTTGTCTTGCCTTGGTATGCTGCCTGTGCTACACAGTCTGTGGGGTTTTCTGCCTTCCGGCTCAAACCCTGTCATTGGGGCTGTGCAGGGGAGCTGGCCTGGCTGGAACAGCTCACTGTGGGTGCCCCAGCACCTCAAGGTGCCTGGTATGTGGATGGGCATGGGTGACTTAGGGCTTTAAACTAGGAAAGACGGGGGAAGGGGAGTGGTATAGAGACAGGGTAGTCAGTAAAACGCCGCTCAAGTCAGGATGCCTCCAGCGGGTGCATGCAGCCAGGGGAGACAGCAT